TTTGACCCTCTTTTAGCCCAAGTCAATCATTTTCCGAAGAGCTGAATCAGGTAGGACCTTAATTGACTCCTCTGTTATACTGACAAAAATCTAGAAAGGCTTCACAAAAATGGAAACTTTCTAGTCATTCTGTGCCCCCTTTGGAGCCACAGAAGGAGTGAAAAGGGCCCCCCCAAAAGGAATGGCAATGCCTCCCAATTCTGGAAACACCAACCAGTTTGTGCCACTTATTTTTTTTTTCTTTTTTCTCAAAGGTAGGTAGATAGGTAAGTCCTGTCAAGAATAGAAAAAGAAGTGCAGGCCTCCCAGCCCATTTTGAAATAGCTGGGAGGACTGTAAACATGCCATTGGATGACTAATTGGGATATCACTGGCTGTGCATGGAATGGAAGAAAGTAACCTGAAGATAATACGGAACATATTTCTTTGTGAGTTCAATTTGACAGTTATTATGTAATATCTATAAAATTGTGGTAAGGATTTAATTCTAACTATAATAAGAATCTATTTATTTATTTATTTATTATCCTGTCTTTATTGTTTTTATTATCCCACCTTTATTGTTTTTACTTTATTGGCAACAAACATATCCACCTCACTTTCCTATTTTCCCTATAACAACAACTCTATGATGTATGTATGCATGCATGCATGTATGTATCTATCCATCCATCCATCCAATATCACACCTTTATTGTTTTTACAAATGACTCATGGCAAGAAACATATCCACCACACCTTTCTATTTTCCCTATAACAACAACCCTATGAGGGTGGCTGGACTGAGACAGAATGACTGGCCCAGAAACACCCTGCTAACTTTTATGGTTAAAGCAGAAATTGAACTCAAGGGTTTCCTGCTTTCTAGTCTGCTGCCTTAAGCACTACACCAAACTCTTATAAAAATAATTCAGTATTTTTGCGAAATCAGCTCAGCCGGCATTATTATATATTGTTAATTTGAGGCCTTCAATTAAGCAGAGGCCTACACCAACTTTAGGGCCTAGTTGTCCTCCTCTCACAAAACCTTTCTAGCACCTGAGACAACCAAACATAATAAATCTTATTGGGAAAGAAATCAAAATGTGGGTTTAGGTTTAATTTACAGTATTATTTAAAAATGGAATACTGTAGTGTATTACTTTTTTGGAAATCATGGAGATGAAATTTTCTTTCCTTTTTTTCTCTCTTTTCTTTTTTATGTTTTCAGTTTATTTACATTGTTATATAAACTTAGTAGTTTTAGTTTAAATGAAATGCCCTTTAGCAATTTTGTTTGCAACTGTTATGAGTTGTATCATCTTTGTTACCATTTATATTGATATAAAAATTCAATATATTCAAAAAAAACTTTGGATAACCTTGCAAGGGAAACATTACCACTAAATCTTATCTTGCGGGTCAAAGCATCCTTTGAACTTAAGTACCTCTTCTTTCATGCAAGCCATCTGATTTTCTATGATGCATTAAAATATTTTCTTTTCCAAAGGCAAGGCAGCCCATCTGTCTGTACCTTTGAACAAGCCGATAGGAGCAAATGGTGAGAAAAACCACCCCTATTGCCTGTGCTCTGCCTCAGAGCAACATGCCAGATTTTTTCTTCATCATTTCCTTGCAAGAAAGTCCTGCCAATAATCCAAAACACACATTCTGCAAAAAGGTGTGGCTGAAGTTTTTTGTTACAGATTACAAAACTCTAAAATGCATTTGAGAATATATTATTTTTTTGGCCACAATGCATTTGTTCTTTTATAAGACAGGAACTCAAGGCAAAAAACTACCAAGAGAGAAATCTGATTTTTGCACTCTTATACTTTGCAAGAATGCAATATTGTATTGAGTAAATTATTGCTAAAGTCAAAATGACATTTTACCCTAGACTCCTTTAGTTAGTATCTGTTACAGTCTGACCTTGTGTATATAATTTCTGTATTGAAAGATACATGTTCACAAAGTTGATATCATATATGTGTATATAAAGCTATATTACTTTCAATTTTTGTTTAATTCATTAACACTTGTTTCATTTATGTTTTCAACTAGAAGTCTAAACACATAACATTTGTTGATTCAGTTTACTAATGAATCAAAAACTCCTATTCTTTTTTTTTTTGGAAGTATTTGATCTTCGTGCAAATCAGGTAAAATACTGAAAATATGCAGAATGCATATAAAGTCACAAATATACAAACCACACAAGAACTATAGCTGTTACCTGATTCTTAGGACATATAGGAACTCTCTCTGTTATGCAGTAATTTATACTTTGACCAGCAAAGGCAAATCTCATATTTTAGAGATCTTCAATGCAAAGGCTAAGCATAGAAATGTGGCTGTAACAAACTAACTTATAAATAGTCTTTGACTTATGGCCACAACTGAGCCTCAAATTTCTGTTGCTAAGTGAAACATTTGTTAAGTAAGTTTTGCTCCATTTTATGACCTTTCTTGCCACAGATGTTAAGTGAATCAATGCAGTTAAATAAGTAGCACGGTTGTTAAGTGAATCTGAATTTCCCATTGACTCTACTTGTGAGGAAGTCGCATAAAGGCGATCACATGACCCCAAGACACTACATCTGTCATAGAGTCAGTTGCCAAGAGTCTGAATTTTGATCACATGACCATAGGGATGTCATAAGTGTGAAAAATGGTACTCACTTTTTCAGTGCCATTATAACTTTAAACGGTCACTAAATGAACTGTAGTAAGTCAGTATTTTATTTTTAAAAAGACTTATGTTTAGGCAAAGTCACGATTTTGCATAACATGGCTAGAAGGAACCATTAAAATGAATTATGCATATGTCTGAGAATGATGGAGACTGCTTTTAACCCTTAGTCCTTAAAACCTGTGCTTATTTCTATTAAAGAAGCAGAAAATTAGACTAAGACAGAAGCTCTCAAACTGTGGGTTGAGACCTCCCAGTGTGGTCATTAGCAACTGGGTTCTCTCTCTCTCTCTCTTACTTTTTTTTTTAAATGATCAGCTTTGCCCAGGCAGAATAGGGCCTTATTTCAAACTGGTTTCTCTTTGCTCCTTACTTTGCCTGCATAAGCCCCAGTGGACACTAATGACACTGCAAAGCCTGAAAAGACTTGTGATATAGATTAATATTTAATTCTTAGAAGTGTTATACTTCTTGTCTGAACTCAAACTAATGGGGGAAAAACAATTTTATTCATTTAAGTTACAGAAAATTCATTTATGATTTTAGGGCGTTGCAAAGTTTCAAAGTTGCTGATATAGAAGATTTCAATAATTTAATAGATCCACTGCACAGGACAATGTTAATTGGCTAATAGAAGTATTATGTACTATGTTAAACTGCAGCTGGCTCAGTGTGGCTATAAACCTGGTCAAAACCTGGTTAACATAT